CATGATAATCTGCCGTATTGCTATGAGATAATACAAGCGGTCCCAAACAGCACACTATCATCGTAAAAGTAGAAATATGCTGCTACAAGATGTGAAGCAGTCCCTGCTCCATATCCGCAGTGCACCGACAGATTACCAACCTTCTGATGGATATTGACATAGTCAAATATTTTTATAGCTTTCCGGACTTCACATTTTTTGGTCCAAGTCCTAAATAGAATTTAATTCTGTTCACCATGTACTTGACAGTTTCTTGTTCCCTCCTGAATGCCATGTATCTAGTAAGCTCAAACCCCTCATACAAAATAGAGCAGAAAAAATTCACAATGAAATACTGAGATGCTATTGTCACCATGAGGAAATATATACGTCCTAAAAAAACATCAGCTGCTACCAAAGAATCATATTCAGACTCTCCCATAATAAAAAAGAGAAGAGTAAACAAACTAATAGTAACGGACCGATACGATCGAACAATGGTCCCAAAGAGTAATATTCCCGTGACAGCAAATGCAAAAAATAATATGGCGGTCACAAGCAGCAAACCATACAGGTCGGCGTGGGCGTTGAGGAACGACCTGAATGTTATCACCACTAAAGGGTTGAACCTGCAGATAAACATACACGTGTGATTTTTGTCAACAGTAATAATACCAATAAATGTTTAATTAAACAAACAAGCCAGCCAAAGAAGAAGTTGTTGAAATGTTACTTTCAAACTACGCAGCTGGTTTGTATTACCAACCACCCAATAAAGGAAATAATGTAATTCCTATGCAATTTACACTTATTATATTGATTTTTAGTGTGTCCTTGTAATGTTGTGCTATAATATATCGCATAAGACTACTTGCATATGTCAGCACTAAATTGAAATATAATTAGCAATACGTTAACTTGGCTTTAAAACTATCTAATTTAGAGCTCCAGATTTTGTTCAGATTGTAAAAACTGCTGATGCCTTGCCAGCACGTGTAAGAATTTCTTTCTTTCAGTTTCCTTGGCTCGAATGAATGAATGAATGCATGAATAAATGAGTCGATTTGCTAACTGTACCAACTGCAACCTGGTTAAAAGCTCCCCTATATTATTATGGACCCTTTGAATTAGTCTGTCAATGTATGGATGCACGGTCTGTTCTTGTGCACTGTCCACTTTATCTGACATAGCTTTTGCAACATCTCTTTTGTCATAAAGTAGCTAAATACCCGGAGAGCCGGCAGCAGGCAATTTGTCAGCCTACTCACTACCCCACACATCCGAAAATTATTGACAGCAAATCCATAATTTGCTCCTGATCTAAGTCTTATCAAGCGATCGAAGCCACTCTACGCGTAAAGCATCAGTTTCGTTTTTATCTGAACGAAATGCTGCCGTTACTGCCCCCACCTTCATTCTCACACTGGATGTTGTCACTACAAATCCCTATCTGTACATAACGATGTCTTCTGTGTGTGAAGTTTTATTCATCAGTGTCGTGTGTGGATTCGTGTGTATCAACACTGTTCCTGTGGAAAGCTAGGGCAGGCTCGCTGGGAAAAATGTTCATTAGATGTTCTTGAGACATGAGTAAACAATCATACTCAGTCCATGCTGGACGATATTGCGACACTAAGGCATGGCATGAGGTGGTCATGTCTCGGTTATCGCGCAGAACCCCCAATACACTCGTGTATGAGGTGGGCGTCGCAAATATCACACAGAACCACAGAGAATTCCCACCTGAATGAGGGAGCGTCTCATGTGTCACAAGAGACCCGCACGTAAATGATGTGGGTGTTCCTAGTTTGCACGAAGGACACACATGGGACCGACACGTGTATAAAAAGTAGCAAACCAGAGAGAAGAGTTGAGAAAAGAAGAGGAGAGCAGTTGTGAGGGCGCTTGTCTTGGGTGACAAAGTTTGTTTTGATCACTACAAAAACAAGACAGAGCTAATTCTACCTGTTGCAGTCACCATTTTCGTCTTGTCCCTGTCCGAGAACATCCAGTAATACGTGCAGCAGGAGCAGATCAAGCCTGAATCTCATTTAACTCAGGTGGGCCCATTCTCTGAAATTGTCTAGAGGACGAGGGATCACTTCTACTGATGACTGGTAGACTCCTGCTGTGGTAGCTCCCCTGTGGATTTCTTCTTAATCACGAGAAACTGCCTCGTGGACTTCGGCTATCAGCGGTGCGTTGATGGGAGGCCCACCAGGAAATGAGATTTTAACGCCAAAAGCAGACAATGATGTAAAATCATCACCAATAAACAGGGGACAGATCTGGAGGAGGCCTTCGTATCTGCTGAACTGGTATGTTTAAATGTCGGACAGGTCACTAGAATAGCCACTCGACCAGGTGACTCTGACAGTGTGATTGATTTTGCTCTAGTGTCGCTTACTATCGCCCCTGTTTGTAGATGGAGTAAACTGAGGTACCACGACAGCGACCACCTGCCCTGTGTTGTCGTGGTTGAGAAGAGCAGAAAAAGCAGCCAGATAAGCAGAAAAAATACTGTTTAGTATGATAACACAGTACAGGATGCCATCAGCAAAGTTAGACGTTGCAAAGTAAATACCTCCTGCAGACAGAGAAAGAAATGGACTTAGCCACCGTAGTGGGATGAAGATGTTGAAAGGGAATGGTTGAAAAGAAAAGGAAGGCCGGCAAGGTGTGGCAGAAGGCCAGGAAGAGTAGCACCTCGCAGCCTGAGCTCCTGAGTGACCTGAAAGATAAAGTCAATACGACAACCATTGATTTCAAGCTGTGCGCAAAGGAGATCAAGAATGAGTGATGGGACGATTACTGTAAGAAGTTGTGCTCTGAAGGGTCTCTTGCCATATTTTTGCGACTTCATCGGGCATTGAATGGCACTACACAATGTCAGGGTATCCCTGACTTTTAAAGCGAAGATCTGACATGGCAGAAATCTGATGCAGATAAAGGACAGGCTCTCCTTCGGCGCTATTTGGAGCAGACCGACCATAAAAATAAGGCAGCCAGACTGAGAGCAAAGTCATCACTTTCAGTTGTTGTCGTATAACAGGATACACACATCTACCGCATTGGACAGGTCAATACAGAGTGAACTTAATGGTATCTTCTCCTGGTGTGCACAATTCTAACGCTTATGTCAACCCTTCGAAGGCCTCAGTAACGTGGTTCTCCTTGATTACGTATATAGTGAAGGCAGATTTACCTGCAGGGGAAAGCAGCGAGAAAAGTTTGACGAGAACAAATAGGATGACATACTTTGCAGTAAGGTTTGATCGCAGCCTATCCTTCAAAGAACATGTTTACCATGTTATAAGAAAAGCACGCAAAGGCCTGTCAGCAGTGAGGGTCTCGGCCGCCGCCAACACCGAGCAGAGACTGCTTCTGCTTCTGTTCCAGGGACTTTCTCCCATCGAATATGCTCTTGCCATCCTCACTGTCAGCCATACTCAAACTGAAAGACTTGAGAAGGTGCACAATGAAGCAATGAGCATTATTCTGGGGTGCACTGGAGACACCTCTTGTATAGCAATGAGGCACCTTCTTGACTTTCCTACTATGAACTACAGGATCAAGATCTGGAGGGCTCGTGAATATCTCAAGAAAAGCTCAGATCTGAAGCACCCTTTGCACCACATTCTCTTAAAAAAAAGGGCAATAGGCTTAAAAAGGACAAATTATTGTTGGGTAGGGCAGAAAATAACATCAAGCAGGTTTGCAGCCTTACAGACATCCATCCAGGCAAGGAATGAATACCAGCATGCAAAGCGCCAAAATTTTACATTCTCCTGTGTGGTGACGCTCGATAGGAGTTGTCGGGAGCAGAATCCAGCTGCTGTCAATGCCGAGGTAAGCGCGCTTATCAGTGACAAGTCAGATGAGACACATGTGGTGTCCGTTATACGAGGACACAGGAGTGCATGCGCATTTACTGCTCATTCTTCAGTGTGTGCTGAGTGATTCTTTGAGCATGATCCGGCGGGTCGAGGCAGGCTGATTACGCAGTCAGTGGTTTGAGTCATTGCAAAACTCTCCTGTGTGTGCAGTTACCTTCATATTCGTCCCAGGGCATGCAGGCATTGTTGGTAATGAAAGAGCCGATAGACTGGCAGGCACTGCATTAATTGAAAATGGCCGGCCCATGGATTACGCAGACATTGTCATTGCCTTTAGAGAGATAGAACGTTCTAAGGATTTTTGAAGCAACATGTCCACATCACTGCTAAGAATACGCAAATTGGGAGTGAAAACCGGCACATCATTGCACGAGAAGCACACCGGACACTCACAAAGTCTATTTAACCAACATAGGACTGGCACTACTAACCGCAAGAAGTTGATGGATATGATGAGAGGGGGATCTGAGCGTCTATGGATGTGTTTGGAGTGCTGTGAAGATATTCCAACTCATTACTCATCTTATCCCCCGTGTTGGTTCCGAGGTCCCATTGTGAGGAAAACAAGAATAGACCCACTGCCTCCCCAAAAGCATGTCGTAAGAGTCGACTAATTGGTGAACTTCCTTTGAAGTCGGAGTGCATCTGCCGGAGAGGCAAGGAACCAACAGTCTGTATTCAAGAGAATGAGATCTGTAAAACTGATGCACACGCAACACTCAGGTTCTGGAGCAGGACTGCAGTTCTGTAGTGGACGAGCAACCAGAACCTTCCGCCAGAGTTTACAGCTGGTGAACGCGAAGAAGAAGAAGATTACTCATCTTATAACTCGTAGAAGGAGTTCCATGTCTGCTGAGACGTTGAGGTACATTTTCGCCTGTAACGCCGCGTATCGTAGATATACAGACGACAATGCAAGTATGTGCCCCATGCATCGACTGGTGTGTCCCGTGTACACACTAAAATGGCTCGCTTGACTTAATTGTGCATGCGTTCAGGAGTCTATGAATGGTCGAAACGTAGTGGTCAGAGAAGCTTCGACCTCTTTGGAGAATTAAATGCGGACCACTGTCTCCCATTCAATAGTATTGATGCCTTATTATAATACACACAGAAACTACTTACGCTGTGACTTTCAACATTTTAAAAATGACGACTCCTCCCAGAACTGCCAGGGATATGTGTAGATGTTCGTGCATCTGAAATACAGCCTCGAAGTTCAAGAAACGCGTGTGCCCATATTTCTGAAAGTCCTTTAGGATCTCCACAAATTTGTAATATCTCAAGAAGAAGATTATGCCCACAGCACAGGTAAGAATAACTGTAAATGCCTGAAGAAGACAAACACACACATATCGAAACTTAATACGGGAGGTACATTACCTGAACACCATTTCCACAACTTGTCAATTGCTATGTTAAAGTGTGAACATACTTTTACAATTTTTATCGAGTATATACTACACAGTACAGAGCAGTGTATGAACAGACCATTAATGTATAGTCAGCATCTCAGCATCTGTGGCGTAGGCTTTGCGAACACGCTTTAAATTGCTAAGATGACCGATTCGATCCCAGCGTCGTGCATAACGTTCTGCGTTGGTGTCAATAGTGGTTTAGAGAGCTGACTGTTTAAGCAATGCTAAACTACTGAAAGTAACATTTGCCTAGTAAACTAACATCATGCAAATGATTCATAACTAACGTTGTAGTCGGTAGGGTAAATAAACTATTTTTTTTGTAAATAAAAATTGAAAAGGGTTATATTGTCGTTAAATGTGTGCACATGGTTAAAGTTGTTACAAAGCGAGAAACAAAATAAAAAATTGGCATAGGAGCAGAGCACCAAAAATATGCCAATAAAACAATTCATCGCAAACTATGAAGTTCGCAATGGGCTGTTACATTTTTTCGTCAAGCGATTACATATGTGTAAAAAGTACTTTGTATGTGTGCTATAATACCTTGCTAGATTTGTCATTCGTAATGTTTTATGGATAATGTAGAATAATAGTTTAATCGATCATAGGATCAATGGTATAGCAAGGTCAGGTGGTACCCAATGCATCAATTGCTCGCCACCCCACTATCTTATATATATATATATATATAATATATATATATATATATATATATATATATATATATATATATATATATCATCTTTATCAAATATTTTTGCTGTTCAGTTATTTCCAAGTCCCTTCGCTTAGTGATTAAACATTCCCCTGTCTATGCCAATTCACAGTACAATTATCGGGCCCAAATGTTTGTTGACTACGACCGTGTAGTAAGTAAGTTGTACCCCAGCAGGACATCACACAAGCGATTAACATCTGGTGACACAAAGTGCCACTATGCGGAGCGGATGAGGATCACCCATGAAGAGGTCCCGGAAAACCCGTTCAGCCATCAGGCTATATTCAGATCCCTCGGCAAAAGCCAGGGTGGGGTTTCAAAATAATCATTTAAAAAAAAAATTGTCATTCCACAGTTGGAAGATAGAGAGTAACTGCGACCATGAACTGAAAAGCAGACGTATCGAAATGGTCTGCGAAAATACTCGATACACACGTATAGGAAGAGAAAGGGTGGTGATGAGAAGAGGCTATCTGGAGTGGGTAGTTATCTCGCAGACCCATATTAGTAATCAGATTGCATCCTTACCCAGGAGATGCAGTCACTGATACATGAAGAAGAGGCCACACATTATACTAACTGGAAATGCCGTACGCCTAAAACTACATGATGACTCAGAAGCAACAGGAAAAAAGTGTCAATTGATTGATGGAAGCATTAAGATCTTTTTGAGTGAATTTTTAGCAATTTACTTGCTGCATTACAAAGATGCAGAAAGTCAAAATTATGAGAATGTCTGTTCCCTTCCCTAGTTACGCGTTCTTTTTTTTTTTTTAGTGGTTGACAGTATATAACTGTTTTACACCTTGACTTTCAGCTGTTCTTTACTATTTCAACAGTTCTATATTTACATTTAGGTAACAAACACAGTTTACAATACTGACGTGAATATTGAGTATGATAGAAGTCAGAGGCGTTTCTACCAATTTTCTTTTTTTTTTTTTATGAGGCAGTAAGTCATTTTTGTCATTCCCCGTGTGGGTTCTGGGGCCCTTTTATAGGGAAAACAAGAATAGACCCACTGCCTACTCAAAAGCATGTCGTAAGAGTCGACTAATTGGGAGCTTCCTTCGAAGTCGGAGTGCATCTGCCTGAGAGGCAAGGAACCAGCTGTCTGCATACAAATGAGTCAGATCTGTAAAACGGATACACACGTAACACTCAGGTTCTGGAACACGACTGCAGTCCAGAAGTGGACGAACAACCAGAACTTTCCGCCAGAGTTTACAGCTGGTGAACGCTAAGAAGAAGAAGAAGAATATTTTTGTTATCACTAGCATTTTACATTGCTGACTGGCTTTTAATGGTGAGTGAGTGTGTGTGCATATATATATATATATATATATATATATATATATATATATATAGATAAATGGGCGTGTGTGTGTGCGTAAACGTGCGTATGTGTGTGTGTGTGGGTGCGCGCGTGCGTGCGTCTGCGTGCGTTACAAGAAATCAGACTGCCGTTGTATTTCCTGGTGCCGGTGTTGGGTTTTTTTTTTTTAAATTAAAAAATACATTCCAGGCTGCACTATAGGTATACACGTTACATTAGTTGTTGACCATACTGCTTTAGGAATTAAAACTACATATAATCTACTGGCCATGATGGGTGTAAGACTAGTCAAAGATGTCGATGGCAGCTGCAGGCCGAATAAAGCGTATATCATCATTCTGCATGTTTTCTTCTTTTTCATCTTTTATCATATGGTCTTCACATTTGCCCCAGAACTGTTCACCTATGTCTGAGAGGGCAGTATATGCAATTTACTTTGCATCCGAGAGTTTGCAAGTTGTACAACAGTGGATGTATTGCTCATTTGATTTATTTGTCAAAAAAAGTCGATTTTTTGTTTTTCTTACTTGCCAAACTGGTATGTGCAGATAGAGTAAAGTCTCCCAGATAACATTTTGTGAATGTCCTGCAGGTTTTAATTTTTCTCTGTGTGTAACATAGCATAAAGCAGACAATCGTGTTTAGTCTCTAATAAGAAATAATTCAATAATTGATGCGTTATATTTTTGAGTGTAACGAATGTAACTTCCAGTGCCAGGAACAAATGGCATCAGTTTACAATTTAAAAGGAAACTTAAAAAAGACGCATATCCATTTTGTAACGTGTTGCTACACTTTCGCTGCAATAGCTGTTTTTTTTTTCAAAATGTCCATACTACCAAAAAAAAAAAAATGTGCTCTTTGGAAAGATCGATTGGTTAAATGTCAACGTTGTGCTGTATAACTCCCAAAATGCCATCATGCAAGGATCATTCTATGCTTGTATATCTCGAATTATTAAAAATGCATTCTAATTACTTGTTTTTAACGGGAGAGATGTGCCATAACGTTGTGAATGAAGCAAAAATCAATATAATTTCATACATTTATATTTATTCCACTATATCTTGAATTCAATTTTATTTTATAAATCGGCACGAACTGATCAACGCACAGAAAGATGATTGTTTAGAGGTTAAAATATACAGCTCGAAAAAGATTCCTGTCGATTACTGTTTTGATTAGATGCAGCCATAAATACATTGTGTGTGCGCGATAAAAAGTAATATACTTGTTAGGCAAGAGAGAAGTATCACATCAGCAGAGACAGCTCTAATTTCTACCTCTAAACAGCGCCAGAGATTTCCAAAGTACTTTCTGAGGCCCAGTTTGCGATAATTTTGTATTTCCACGAAGGCGTAAAACAACGTACATATCACCATAATTCCCTGAAAGGTATTACATACAATTAGTATTTTAATACGTAAGCTAGTTTAGCCAGGTCACAAATCGTCCGCAGTGCAGATCGACCCATTCATCGAAACACTCTTAAAAAAAAACTTTAAATTTGGTTCTTAATTTTTAACGTACCCCAAACACGAAATTGCCGTGCCAAATCCACAGCTGACCTGACAGTCCATTATTTCAAGGGGTGCAAGTGTGCTGTTGTGTTGTGCTGATTTTGAGTGTTCATCTTGGTCTTCTAACCCTAACCCTAACCCTAAACTTGGCTGTAGATAAATCGCGAGAAACTACAACCTAAACACCCTAGAATTGATTGGGAATGTCTCCCGTGACGTTGTCGTGACGTCAGGGGTAAATTATAAATTAAGTACCTTAAATTTAAATCATCATTAGGTACAACATCATCACTATCATTTTTACGATCATTATCATTATCATCCTCTGAAATGTCGACATGCCTAGGTGGCCGCGTTTCGTCATCTCATACGATCACTGGAATAAGAGGATCAGGTAAGTACTCTTGTCTCATCGATAGCAGTTTTCTCTTTGCCCTCTTAGATTTGCCTTCAACATAATACATCAGCGTCTGGTGGTTGATAGTCTTAGTTCTATGTTGGGTGACAGGAACTTTCGTGCGTCCGGTGTGCTTCTCGTGCCTGGCTGTGCCAGTCTTTACTCACAATTGTTGCACTCTTAGCAGATATGGATCTGATACTCCCAAAATCCTCCGATCGTCCTTCCTCTCTAATGGCAATACAAATGTCTGCATGATACATGGGCAGGCCCTCTGTAACTAAGTAAAAAGTAAAAGACCCTTTTCCACGCCTTTAGGTGTATAGGGCATATAGGGCTAGACCTACACTTTTATAGACCAATAGGCACAAGATGAGTGATGTGGTCAGCATCAAGCCGGCCGCCTTTACTTTCCCGGGACAGCACCCGGTACCCACTCAAGGCTGGGTGGACCTGGGAGCCAAGGACATTTTTGAAAAAAGTCAGGCTCCGCCGGGGAGCGAACCCACGACCTTCCGACCCGCGACGGTCGTCTCGCCGCCCGGCCACGGCGACTCCCTCTGTAAATAAGACATAGCTGCAAATCTGTCAGCTCTTTCATTGCCAACCCTTGAGCAAAGATGAATGTAACTCCGAGCATAGTTGATTTTTGCAATGACCCGATCCACTCACTGTCTGCGCACAAGGCCTGCCTCGACCCCCAAATCATGCTCAAGGAATCACTCAGCACACAAACACCCACCCACCCACCCACCCACACACACACACACAGGCACACGTGAAAATAGCCCTGGGATTCTAGCCACATAATAGCTCTTGTTACATCCATCACTCTCATTGCCATGCTGCTAGTAGTTATTCAGGGGGCACCACTGGCCTCCTGGGCTGTTCTGCATTCAGAGCACGCAGTAAATGTCCATGCACTTCTTTGTCCTCGTACAACGGGCCCATCTGTGAAGATCAGAACATTTTTTCACATATAACCGCGTGGCATTCTGAGTTGACAGCAACTGGATTCTACACCCGACAGATCCTATCAAGCGTTAGAACACAGGAAAAGGTGCAGTTGAGCATTTTGGGCACAAGTATCCGTCTTTGCTGAGGTTGGTGCTGTAAAAGTGCAGACTGTATGATATCGTCCTCTTCCTACCGAGGGATGATGATCCCCTTTTTAGCTTGTTGCCCTTTTTTTCCTAAACAGAACATTGTCTAGGGGTTGCTTTACATCCGAGCTTATCTTCGGGTATGCACGAGTCCTTGTGATCTTCATCTTGATATGACTGACAGACTTTCTGCCCCACCAGGACATGACACAAGCGATAAACACCCGATGACACAAAGTGTCATCATGTGGATGAGGATCGCCGAGGAGAGGTCCCAGAAACCGCGTTCAGACAATTGGCCATATTTATGGTCTGCCCATATTGCGGCCTCTGGCAAAAGCCAGGGTGGGGCTTCAAATAACAAAAAATTTCGTCCTAAAAAAGGACGAAAATGCTAATGTTTTTTTGCTCCGCAAGAGGTGTCTCTCATGCACCCTAGAATAGTGCGCATAGCTTCATTGATTTGATTAGTTTGATTTGATTTAAGAACCGACATCACAGGACTCAGTGCATTCAAATAGGCGCTCCGTCCCCATCTTCAGCAGCCAGAGAAGAGGTCCGATACTTATGGTGCCAGTAGCATTCTGATTAAAAGTCCGTCTTGCCTTTCGTCTTAGCTTCAAGTATCTGCCAGAACATCTCGTCACTCCGAACTGCATTAATCTCACTAGACTGTGGTGATCCATCTGCTCCTCCGAACTGTACAAGCTCTCCCACAAGGCACTAACCAAGTCTGCCTCATCGTGCATCAGTATTCAACCATGCTGTGCAGAGCCAGCCAGTCTGTCCGCCTGTTCATTTCCCAACACACCGGCATGACCTGGTAAAAAAATCCAGACATTACTCCTCACCTGTGTCCTCCGCAGCGAGGCATACCACTCTGCACGAAGCATGCCTGTGTTGATCTTCCTCAGCATGCTTTCTGAGTCAGTTACAATCACGATGTGTGTATGTGTTCTCTAGCCAGCGGAAAGCTGCAGTGACTGCCCTCACCTCCATTCTTTAGATGGATGTTAATGTATCATATGCTAGGCTCTCCTGCACCAAACATTGACCATTACCTTTTGCTTAAAAAAAAACCAAAAAAAAAAAAAAAAAACAAGCACTTCTTTTGCCTCTTGACACTGAACCGTCTCGAAAATGATAAAATCTTCTGAGCGAGCATTATCTTGAATTATTTGCTGAATTTTCACCTCTGTGGCACCTGCTGGCCAGTCTCTGCATACCCGGCTCAGTGTGATTATGATCCTACACAAGTCTGACTGTTAAGGTGGCACTTTGACCCATTCCTCTCCTCGTCTAATGTTCTCAAGGATGCAAACCTGTCTGACTGTGTCTTTTGCCTGAGCCATCCATGACTTCCCTCTTATCAACCGCTGACCCTTAACTGCATCCAGAGCTTCGTGTGCAGCTACCCTTAAATATTACTTCGCCTGCAGCACCTTGTGCCTACCTGCAACAGTCGACAAACCAAGGATGTATCGCATACCCACCACTAGGATGTCTCTGGTGCAACCCAGAATGACCCGCATTGCTGCGTTCTGTATGCGCTCTAGTGTGACCATCTGGCTCTTGAAGACGGTAAGCATTCCCGGGCCATAATCAACCACTGACAGGATCAGGTGCTGATATAGTGTGAAAATCATTCTCTGCTCTATGTAAATTGCAGCCATAGTCTAAAGTGCACTAAGTACGTTTTAGCATCTTGTCACAACGCTCCCCGCATGGTCGTTAAAGGACAGGCTCCTGTCAAATATAATTCCCAGATGCTTCAGTTTGCTCTCTCTGTTGATGTTTCTACCATCTATCAAAAGACTTAGGACATTAGCTTTAATGATCCTGTTGTCCAGAGAACACCACAAAACAGACCCGTTTTATGGGTGGACGACAGCCTTCATTTTTGTACACCACTCAGTCACTTTGTCTACTGTCGCTTGTAGCTCCTGTGCTGTTTGTTTCCTCTCTACCCCTGCCAATATGCAAGTATATCATCCGCAAAAGTCAGTATCCTTTCAAATCCTGGTGCTTCCAGGCATGCAATTTTGCTCGTATACACGTTTAAGAGCACAGGCGAGAAGGCGGATCCCTCTGGCAGTCCTGGGTCAAAACTGCATGGTGCTGAGGTCCATGAGCCCAGTCGAAGAGCAATCTGACGTGAATACATGACATCTGCAATCCAATTCACCATCCAAGGACTGACCTGCTTCTCCTTCAGTGCAGTCATCAAGATGTCGTATCTTACTCTGTTATAAGGATCCTCGAGATCTAGTGCTACCACCATAGTTTCCTGTCTGTACTGGAACCCTTCATAGAGGTCTAAAGCAAAAGTGGCTGCATTGTGCTTCATTGTGCACCTTTTCTAGTTGTTCAATCTAGGATTACCTACTGTCTCGAAGAGCCAGCTAGAGAGACTGGAGCGAACATAGAATGAAGATTTGGCGTTGATCAAGGGATTGTGTGCATGCGATACATCCTTACATTGCCGACTATTGCAGATAGGCTAAAGGTGCTGCAGGCTAAGTTATACCTCAGAGTAGCTGCAAAGAGCACCCTCTGTATGAAGCGTTGGCTGCAGTTTAGGGTCAATGGCGGAAAATGGGGAAATCGTAGATAGTTCAAGCAGAAGACACGATAAGCGTTGGGCGAGGAGACGCATAGGTCAAAGCACTAGCGGAACAGTTTGACCTATGTAGGGTCATGATCACATTGGGCCGGAAGTGCAGAGAATGGTAAGCGAAAGCTACGAAGGTGGAAGTCCAACAATTAATTTTAGACAATTCTCACCCAAATGGTCTATTCATATATTTATGCGTTGAAAGAGAAGAGAAGTGTCGTAGTGAAAGCCAATGGAAAATCTTTACTGCAGGACAACCAGGTATACGATACTACAACATCTAGCATGAGAGTGGAGGTGGAGGAGGCCACTGCAGCTTTCCAATCGCTATAGAACAAGATGCAAATACCTATCGTAATTGTAACAGACTCTGAGAGCACGCTGAGGAAGGGGAAGACATGGACTCTTCAAGCAGAGTGGCAGGCTTCACTCTAGGGGTCACGCATAATGAGCATACTTTTCTTCAGGTCATGCTGGCGTGATGTAGAATCACTAGGTGGTGAACTAGGCGGCATCACTAGGTGGTGAACTAGGCGGCATCACTAGGTGGTGAACTAGGCGGCATCACTAGGTGGTGAACTAGGCGGCATCACTAGGTGATGAACTAGGCGGCATCACTAGGTGGTGAACTAGGCGGCATCTCTAGGTGGTGAACTAGGCGGCATCACTAGGTGGTGAACTAGGCGGCATCACTAGGTGGTGAACTTGGCGGCATCACTAGGTGGTGAACTAGGCGGCATCACTAGGTGGTGAA